TCGTATTGTTATCTGACAGTGGGCAGCTTGTACATAATTCAATGTCAGATGATAATTGCTACAAGTTCTTCAAATACCTATAGAATGATAGGTTTCTTTTTGGTGAGTCTAAAACACGTAAATACACCGGTTTGATTTACGAAATATTGTTTTACCAATAGCTGCTCCAAGCAATTTATTTACCTAATTGTTTGGAAATAATTTCTAATTATAAATGTTCTTGGAAGCAATTTATCCTTCTTTACGGAAGATCTCGCTGGTGATACCACGTTTACTTTTTGTGAATGTACGAGTTTCGTAATTAGCTCATATCTTTCTTCAAACGAGTATCCTTTTAAATTTACTTGGCTGTCCTCATGCTAACAACTTTTATATTATCTTCCAGTGGAGGTAATGATCTTATTAACTGCTGATCTCGACTGTGCAAGAAAACTAGCATGGACAAAGAGGAATATTCCATCAAACTCCCAACTATAGTTGAAGATAAACATTACACTAAGATCAAATCTAGCTCAACCGTAATCACGGAAAAGAAAATTAACCAATTTTTCAAGAAACATCAGAAAGAACTCCGAACAGAAACAAATAACTAACAGTACAAACCAGCACCACCCCACATATATACGGTTTTCTTGAAATTCTCAAACAAGCTACACTATCTATCCAATAACATCAGCTAAATATATGGTAGACATGGTATCAATTAAAACATACTTACATTTTAAGGGCTAAGTCAACTTTTTAGAGACTAGACAAGTAACCAATATAATCACATAGTATACAATAATCAGCTTATATGTATCAAACCACTTCATTAAGATACCAAACTTTAACACGCTACAAACACTCCGCCAACAGCCTGAGAATGGTAGGACTCTTAAGGAACGTAACTAACTGTTAATCTACACAATAATTCAAGTCAATACCTTCTGTGTATTTTAACTTAAAGATAAATTCTTCCAACAACATGCTATGGACTTACGCCTATTACCAGCACTCAGTAACTTCTATACATAAAAACTTTCGGAGTGAACGCTCTCTAACGAGTCGCTCCACGCTGATGATACATACTTAATATGGTCACACACTACAGACAACATCCCATAATACAATTGACAAGTGAAATAGAGAAATGTAACAAACTCAAGATAAATACCTCGACTATAAATCAGACCACCCAACGAGTGTAAAAAAAGGCACAATAGACTGCCAACTTTCCAGAATAAACAAGAATTGTAGTTCTGAAGAAGCTAAGAAGATGGAAAAAAACACATCACTACATTTCTTCTTAACAAT